TGGAATTAAAGGAGATTGCCTCGGAAACAGCCTCAGCATGAATGTTCCAGTAAAGCCAATCGACAGCTGGTGAAGAGGAATTGGCCATCGTCTTCTGGTGGAACCGACCTTCGAATCTCTTCACCCAACACCTCCATTCGAAATGGAAGTAAGCTCAATAACTTCCTAGTCCTGATTCGACCTAGTTTTCGCAACTTGGTCGGAGCGACAGCAGGACCACGTGAAACGTACTTAGTCATACGTCCTCTGCCATAGCATTCATAATTTCCAGTTGAAACGGAACCGGTTGAATAAAAGATTGGTCAAAGGTATTGCCTTTACCTTCATCTCTGTGCTAACAAGAGCGCCTCTCTCTGACGATGCCGACGAAATGTATTGAAATGTACCAATTCACTGGTATGATGCTGCAAATCACGAATACTATGGCAGAATACGCAGGAGTAGGCACATTCCACAAGGGCTCTCTGACGCTCCGAACAAGTTGCAAAAATAAGATCAAACCAGCAAAATATATCTAAAGGAGATGGCGAACACACAGAAGCACACCATTTTGCTCATCATTTCTATGACTAAGTTCCTATTAAAAAGACAGACAAAGGAAGCCTTATGAGTTGTATTCATCTTATTTCTTTAAAGCTGATTAAGGACTGGTAGTTGATTAGTCACATAATGATATGAATAGAGCTGATGTATTCCATTGAATTTCACATAGCCCTACTTTCCCAAAAAAATGTTCTCATTCAGAATGGGCTGCAGGTTCAACCTCGCATAGATTTCATCAACCCTCCAAACTGAAATTGTCGATGAAGCAAACTTATATTTTCTATAGCAATCGACAACATTACTTTTTTCGTAAATGAGTAGGTTTCCAGGACAATCACCAAGTCAGATATATGAGTTGTGCCCATCCTATTTCATCTAAGCTAATATGTGAATGTGATATGTAAAATGCCTGAGATTGCTTGAAATTAACATCTGCCCTGTTAACCAAGGACACTCATGACAATGTTGCGTAGTGGTTAACGTATGGAGCTTACACGCTGCATCTGTATCGTTCGACTCCCGGTTGGGAGGTTGTTGCGAGGTCGAAACTGTCGTCCACTTCAGCCTGGATGAGAACACCTTTTGGGAAAGCAAGGCTATGTGAAATGTAATGGCAAACATCAGCTCTACTCATATCATTGTGGGAAAAATCAACTACCAGTCCTTCATCATCATAAATGAAATAGAGTGAACACAACTCATACATTTGATTCACTGATAATCCGGAGAGCCTACTCATTTACGAAAAAAAGGAAGCCTTGCATTGACAAGCTGTTGGTATGGGAGAGAAAAAGATGCAAACTTTAATACAACATGTGGAAAAAGGGCAGAGAAGACAGGTTGCCTAGGCAAATAGGATTACATGTGTTGGCAAAACTTGGGCTCAACTCAGGGCTAAATGCCTCCGGCGAACCGAACAATGGGCTCATTTTCCCCTCCGGACGTCTCCCACTGAGCGCAGGCCTCGTGCAGACTCCGTTCTCTGGGGCCCATTGAAGTGAGGCCAAGATTCATTAGCATATTGCTGGTTTCCGATATTCCCACCTGCATGTCCACCAGACGCAAGCCGAGCCCCTTCACCGAGTTGGTCCATTCGACGCTCAAAGCGTTGGCGTCGGCCGTCGCCTCGGCCATAGCGGCGAGGGCAGCCTCGGCGGCGATAGCGGCAGCCTCAGCCGCAGTCATATTCGCCTCTTCACGGACACTTTTGGTACTTCCAACACTCATCGAACCAGCCTCTGTCCGGCTTTTGCCGGTCTTACCAGACGGCTTGTCAGGCAGGTGGAGGTAGACTCTGAGCAGCCGATGCAACAGATCCAGGCCCGGTCCAGATTTGTTCATCTCCGCCCCGCGAGCCATCTGACACGGACCATTTGTATGAACTAGGAAGACTGGCTGATGGCAAGCGAGACCTGATACCTAAAAGAGGGGTCCAAGATGGGATTTGGGATTATGGCTAGATGGAGGGGTTGATGAGTCCTTTCTACCGGAGGAAGATTAAGCGACTTCATGTCACCATTTCATATGAGAAGATCTCTGGAAAGGCTTCGCTATTGGGCCTAAATAAAATACAATAAATCTCCAATAAACTGTTAATTTGCCTGACTCGATTGACCAAGCAACAGAGAAAGTAATCAGGCCTCCTCGCCCCTGAAACGGCTATTTAATGAAGGATGGACTACTACAACATTGGCATTGAGGAATTCTGTGAAATCGTGGGACTTAATCATTTCATTATATGAATCACAACAATCTAACCTTGCATTAGCTTAGCTGACAGAAGCTGCATGGACTTCTCATTCAGGATTCCCAGATGATTTTAAAGCTTACTCAAAATAGATATGTCTAGAAAACCGAATATAATATGGAATAAGATAATTACAATTAGGCTAAAATTGGCTTTACGTGGATCTGACGAGGGCCGTCAAAGCATTCATCCCACCATAAAGGATAGCCTACAAGGCCATATTATGCCCATTATTGTTATTATTTCATAAACATAATAATAATATAACTAGTAATAGTCCTAGTTATGGTAGTATAACGTTTTGTTTCTTTAAAAATAATATGTATTTGACTTGGTATTGCAAATTTTTTGAACATATTGAGGTGGAAATAATGACACTACTAATGATAGCAATACTTGTTATTATTATAAGAGTTCAAATCCTCCTAGATCACATAAAGTGATGATAAACTATTGCTTAACTTTTCCCACAATGAAAGGAGTAGGCCCTATTTCCCCATCTACCTTCACTTAGCCTTACTTCCCCAAAAGTCATCCCATCTAAGCAGGAGTGCACTTTAGTTTCGACCTCGCCTGGGTCTCATGCTCACCCTATTGGGATTCGAACTCGAGTAATGCAGCGTATAATTTCGACACGCTACCATCATGCCAATCTGTGGAAAGAAGGCCTATGGGTTACAGGATAAAGGTAATTATCAAGTAATGTTAGCTTTTTCTCCCATCACATTATTAATGTCACTGTTGATGAAACTAACTTATGATTTGTCATTACAATTAAATTATTTGCTTATATTCCTATAAAGTAGGCAAAATCTGGGACTCTTGTGCAAATTTTACTTATTTTTTCGAAGCCTACTTTATACGATAAATAATAATCGGATTATAATTGAGTTCGACATTTTTAATTATTCGTGTAGATTGTCGAGTTACCAATATGAAAAGTATAATAATACAAGCAGTATAATACTCACAATGCTATTAATATTATCATTATCAACTCACCTTGGTACGAAGAATCTTAGTTCGAATAAAGAGAGGGCATGCATTAAACTCCAGAAAGAACATTATAATCTCTCTCTTTACGTTAAGCTAAAGCCTCCTTTTAATACTCCTTACCATAACTGTAGGTTGGTCTAAAGTGTGCTAGCTTACGATATCCCCATTTAAACCTAACATCTATGCTATGGAATCTATTCGATATCCTTATTCTCCTAAAATAAGTGGAAAGTTAATTAGGTCCATATGATGATTTGTGAGTGGTGTCATGACCACGAAGTTGGTCTTGCATCAGAGACTTCAGAAGAAGTTCATTACAAACCGATCATTTACAAACAAGGCTATCCTGAGGGTAGGCGGCAAGATAAATGCACCACAGCCTCTCACTTCCTCCGACAGACAATCGTAATTCACCTTTCGACAAGACTATAGCAGAATATACTCCCTTTGCCAGAGACAATTAACCAATGCCTCAATATGGCCCTTAAAATTGAGTGTATCAAATGAGCTAAAAGCTCCAGAAAAATAAATACATTCTAATCATTAAAAAAATTTGTGAGTAGTGAGTACTGTACTGTAAAAGGTTACAAGGCTTAATTTCGTGTTTATTTTCATTGTTTCTCTTTCTCTCCGAAATGCAATACACTATTCAGCATGATGCGATGTTTAGAGCCTTATTCCAATGTTGTCTGTCACTTTTGAAGGTTAAATAGGCTAGAGTAAGTGGTTAGATTACAAGACGCCCTAGAAACCGAGACAGCATCATCCTCAATGAACTATCCTTTATATAACAATCCTAGCTTGTTATTTTTTCATCGACTAGCAACACAACACACAAATCTATTCCGTTTGGCCCAAAGCCTGTTGTAGAAGACATTTGCACTAGCATACCTTCTGTTCTAGATTGGGTCTTTCCATTCTGGAGACAATTCGGACCAGCGGGCTGCGTTGAATGTGCCTTTTGATTCGAAGGTTTTGCGTGAACCCCAACTGGGCGCAGCTGTAGCGCAGGTCGTCGATGATCGCCCTGAATACGGCTGAAATTGACTCGCTATCAGCAGGGGTCGCATTTTTCGGCATTAAATTATCATAAGCCTGCAAAATAGCCGCCGAATAGTCGATCTGAATGTGTAAAGGTAGAGTAGAGAAGGAAGGATTTGTGTTAGATGTAGACTGCAGAAAAAAGCGGCAAACACATCAACAAACTCTTTGGATTAGTGAACATGGTTTCTGACGCGTTATTTTACATATTTCGATCAGGAATGGTTGGCAAAATGAAGGTCTTCAAAGAGCTTGAAATACAGGGTTGTCCAAAATGGTACAATCCTTGCTGCATTGGACAATTTTGCTTTAGACAATGAATTTTCAACTCACCAGTTTTCTGTGTGACTAGCAGTTCTACCAACAACGATTTAGTAAGAGGTATTGTCTTTGCTCAAAAATTATTTCACAAAGTGTAGCTCACATTTGGGTTAGGATGGAGTTTTGCTGATAAATTTATATCTCAATCTTCGCGAAACGATTCGGTTATACTTTACTCCTGCTTCTGTATGCCGAAATACCACATCATATAATCCCCGGGAATTCTTGTTGCTGGCGATTGAGATGCAGCCTGAGTGTACCTGACGTCCAAATGGCCTGAAGTTATACATGTGGTTTCCACATTTGGGACAACTCTGAGAAAATTCCTTAAAATATTTGCATTTGTTTACTGTCAGCAATAAGATGCACATCCAGGAAGTAGATGCCCTACCCTTCCTGTAGATCCTTTTTACTGCCAGATTTATTAGGACATTTTTATCCCATAGCTTGTCTAGTATGAAACCAGAATGTGCCATTATTGAGAGCTCAACTTTTGGTGCAGCTTATAGTGTATTAAGTTTGCATGGGAAGGATCAATGTACACGGGTGCAGTGTTGGCATCTCGGTACATTATTTAATGTAATCTTATCCTCAGATAGTTCACAGCTATCTGGAGACTGAAGCCAATTACTATGATTCACCATTTTCGTCTGGCTTTAAATAAAATTATATAAATTTTCTATTTAATGGAACCATAAGAAATAGCGAAACTACATACCAAATATACTCATATTTCTATCGAACCAGGATTCAGATGAGCAAAAAGGCTCTCGGGAATCTGGGCAAAATTGTATTTTAACGAAGGCAGGACCTTTCCTATTTCATTTCATATGGTATACTTGTTAGTGTAGCAAAGTTGTGCTTGCTATTAGAGTCGACTATATTACTTATTTTCGTTTATAATTGGGTTTCGAATTACAGGTAGATCGTATAAATGAGTTATGACTAATATTATACAAAATACAATATACTACTGCCAAAATTAATTAAGTAGCACCTTATATTTTAAGTTTATAAGTAGGATGTGGAGAGTACCAGTAGATCATTTATATGATAAATATTCATCCAATTAGTTTTATGGGTAATACCAGCTATTAAAATTTTCCCACAGTAGATTCCCATTGAATGTCACAGCCCTCCTTCCAAAATGGTATACTCCTCCAGGCTTAGGTCTTATCAACACCCTCAGCTTGACGCAAACCAAATAAAATGTAATATTTAATCTTGACCCTCTAACCACTACACTACATTTCTACAAGTGCATTTGCGTCACAAGGCAAAAGTAAATTAAAAGGAAGGCCAGGCATTTTTCCACATGTCATATTCTTCGGTGGGATTGTCAATGAGGCAATGTTGTACTTCCTATAGTAATAGACCACGCTACTTATTTTTTATTTATAAGTAGGATTTCGAGAATAACAGTCGATCGTATATATCGGATGCATTCATCCTATTTCATTTTTGGGTGATATGGGATGTCATGAACACTCATATTAATGCTGGAAAATTTAATTATCAATACCATTATCACTACAATACGAAATGGGATGAATACTTCTTATATATATGAACTAAGCAAAATAGGTAACGTATTTGATTGCTATAGCAAATACAACTTTGCTTCATCGACAATCCCATCACACAATGCGATATATGAAAAATGTCTGGCACTCCTTGAGATTCACTTCTGCCTTTGACCGAGGGGCATTCATGGAAATGTGGCGTAGATTATACCCTGCATTATCGTGGTTCGAGCCCGCTGGGGGGTGTTTATAAGGCCTAGGCGAGGTCGAAACTGGAGTTCAACACTAAGCCTTAAGCCCTCATATCAACAATAAGGCAGCATCAGTAAATGGTACCAAAAAAGGGATAACGCAAAATGCTTACCATACTTTTTCCAGATGCCAGTCGACCCAGACTGTCTCGGACCATCCTGACCAACTGGTTCTGTGTGGCTGGCTCTGTGTAATTGTTAAGAGGGATAGCCTTTCGTGTTGAGTGTAACCTATTTGCAATTTGTCTAAATTGGGTGCGCTCTGTCGAGGTAATGATAACCATGGGCATGTCGAACATCCTTTGGCCGGAGAAGGCAGCAACTAGGGGATTACGGACCCTCACTCTTCTGCTTGACGAGTCATGATTCTCGACGACCAAACTAGCCTTTAGGAAAAAGTCAAATGGACACGTAAAAATGGAAAGTATAAATTAGGACTTCAGGCACCAAGTAAACGGGTGAAATAGTTAACCTTATAAGGGAAGGGAGATTATGTAACAAAAATACTATTAGACGATGAAACGGACTATACGAGATGTATTCACCCTATTTCGTTTAAGGTGATGAAGGACTTGTAGGAGAATTTTCCCACGACGTTTCCATTGAATTTCACATTGCCTTGCTTTCCCAAAAGTTGTTTTCATCCACGCACCAGTGGACTGCAGTTTCTACCTCGCATCGGTCTTATCAAAACCCCCAGCGGGAGTCGAACCGTGTCACTTCCACTGAGGGTGTTGATAAGACCGATGCGAGGTCGAAACTGCAGTCCACTGGTGCGTGGATGAGAACAACTT